TAGTGGCAATACGACGTGCGACGAGTTCTCTCGCCACTATGTGGCGGGGTGCTCCGACTGCAGTCCGCGCGCCAATCGCACGACGCAGGGAAATACTTAATGCGCTGATGAGGAGCAGCGCGCTGGGGGCAGATACCCACGACGGTTTTGTGGATCGCTGCCAGAACATCGCCGTTGGTGGGTGCCAGGACTGTCGCGCCTCCTCGACATCTGGAAGGGGGTCCACTCTGGATGGAATGCCATCGGGGTGGGCATGGTTGCTGCTATCAGCTGCATCGACTGCGTGGGCGCAGGCGGCGGTGGCAGCGGTAACGCGCGACGCCTCCGCGCCCGGGGCCGGAGCGGCAAACTCGCGTGCCCTCCCAACGCTGGGTGCGGGAGGTTGTGATGTGGTCAGTGGCGAACTCCGAGCTCAACGTGTTTTGCCAAGCGGCCTACGCTTCGTCTCGCTTGACCGGCATGGCTGGCGAGTGCGTGGACGAGTGGCCGCTGGCTGTCCTCGTCCAAGGTGGTCATGTCAACAGCAACCAGTGCCGCCTATGACTTACTGCGTGCATGGCTTGGCCGAGCGATGGGGCCAGTTTGGGGAGGGGGAGCGCGCGGGGGCGGTGTCGGCTCTGATCGGCTTCGACCGATTGCTTCAGGAGCGCATCGACAACCTCTTCACCAGGTTCGACATCTTCCGCAACATGGCGCACCACAGCTGGCGCTCATGACGGCCAGCGACGCAGATTTGAACATGTGATCGAAGGCTCTCCGGGCAATCTCGCCTCGGCCGTGCTTTCGGCCCAGCGTCGAGCGTTCCTCTCGGGTGCGCCCACGCAAGATCAGGATCAGAGTGCTTTTGGTTCTGGGGCCAAATCGAGCTGGGATGGCATGGGCCTCCCAACCCTTGATAATCACACCAATCAGACTGTCGATAATCATACGAAGAGAATACTAATGATACTATTCAGAATACTACGCATACAGCTCATAATAATCAGAAGAAGCATGCGACGAATGATAATATTTATGAAACTAGTAAGACAACAACTAATAGTAACATACTAATGCAACTTAGAAGCGTAGTAGTAGTAGTAGTAGTAGTAGTAGTAGTAGTAGTAGTAGTAGTAGTAGTAGTAGTAGTAGTAGTAGTAGTAGTGGTAGCAGTAGTAGTAGTAGTAGTAGTCGTGTATAGTAGTAGTAGTAGTAGTAGTAGTAGTAGTAGTAGTAGTAGTAGTAGTAGTAGTAGGTAGGAGGAGGAGGAGGAGGAGGAGGAGGAGGAGGAGGAGGAGGAGGAGGAAAAGGAGGAGGAGGAAATGGGCGAGCAAAAGGGCCAGAAGGCTCTTAGGTGCTTTTCGGTGTCTCTTCGTATGTTTCTTGGGAGCTTCCTGACGGCGCCTTGGGCCGTCTTGGGGGCCTCTTGGCGGTCGCAGGGGCCTCTTAAAGCGTCTTGGGTGCCTCGGAGAGCCTCAGTGGGCCTCTTGGCGGCCTGCGGGCTTCTTGGCGGCCTGTTGGGGGTCTCCTGGGCGCTTATTGGGGCCCCCTTGCGGCTCTTTTGGGAGCCCAGGAGGGCCTCTTGGAGCTGTCGTGGAGGGTGTCGGTGAACAGAAGGGGGGTCTTACCGTTTAGCCCCCCCTCTGGGGCTATCATAGTCTCTTGTGACGCTTTTGGGCCTCTCTTGGGGCGATCTTGGACGGTCTTGGGAGTCTTTGGGTCGTCTTGGGGGCATCTTGTGCCCCTCTTGGGGGTCTCTTCGGCTAACTTGGGGTCACCTTGACGCATCGAAAATGCATCGGAAGCGAAAAAGGGGATATTGCAACAATCGTTGGTTTTTTCCCAAGGTGTTTGAAGGATTTTGGCTTCCCCGGGAAGTCGTGAGGGGGTGTCCAACAGTTCCTGGAATCGTTTTGTCGCCCTCTAGGGCCTCTTGGAGGCATGTTGTTGGCTATCTTGAGCCACGTAGGGCTGTCTTGAACGATCTTAGAGGCCATCTTTGGCTTTCTGAGGCCTTCTCGCAGCCATCTCAGGCTATCTTGGACGCCCTGGCACCTCGCGACATCCTCTGTCCAGGTCCAGGGGGGTGGGTGGGAGGAGGGGTAAACTCTTTTCCGAAAGGGGGGAAAATGGTTTTTGGAAGAGGAAATGAAAACATTGTTAGACCACTTGTGCCCAGAGGGCAGGTGGGACTACATCGAACGGACACGACTTTGAGGCTCCCCAGGCTTGGGTTTTCTGTTCACCCTGCGGGCATACAGGGTGTTTACCCCTTCCACCTTCCAGGTCGTGCCGCAGTTAGAAGAACTGCCCGTCGACTTCCGGGGGGTGGAAGGAAGACTGGGCGGCGCGCTTATTTCTGCCTGGCCCCGGGGTCTAGCTTATTGCGGCCGTGGCCAAGGATTTGAAGGCGGTTAACTTTTTGGACCAACTGTTGGATATGTCTGCTGTGGCCTTGGCCGCCAAAGCCAGGGTCCAGCGATTCGAGGCGGGCTCCATGGGAGCCTGGGAGGGCTGCGAGTGGAGGACCGCGTCCGTCGATTGGAGAGACCACCATTGGCTCGCTGGTCCCTGGCCCACAACGCCTGGATGTCGCAGTGGGTGCGCCAGTTGTTCCTCCACATCTTGTCCCGGGTTTCATGCTCCGCAGACGTTCGGCGATTTTCTTTGCCCTTTCTTTCCATACCTCCGATGAGGATGTTGTGTCGCGCCCTCAGACACGGGGGCCTGGCCCTCAACGTCCTGTGGGGGTCTTTCGGACAATGCGCCAACTTTGCGCGCTAGGCAGCTTGTGCTCCTGCGCGGGACAAGGTCCTGCCGCGAAAGTCCGTTATCTGGATTCCCAGATTCCCAGTCTATTTCTACCGCTTTACTATTTCAAGAATCGGTGCAAGTTTGCTTTGTTTTGCTGTTTCATGGGAGAACCTGGATCCAACTTGCTTTACCCGCCTTCTTCCGACCGACGTGTGTCCTTGCAGGGGCCTGGGGATAGCTTTTGGGCACGCGGTGGCCTTTCGAACCAAGCGAATTCAGATGACGATGTTGGGAATACCGGTTTATCGTCGCCTTGAGGCTGGTCCCCGATGTTGCTCCATCCTCTCCTCGTCCTCGTCCTCCCCTCGTCCTCCTTCCTCTCCCTCCTCCTCCTCCTCTTGCTTTTATTCCTCCTCCTCCTTCTCGTCTTCCTCCTCCTCCTCCTCCGCCCGCCCTCTTCCTCCTCCTCTTCCTCTTCCTCCTCCTCCTCGGCCACATGCCATGCAGCAGCTCGGTCAAGAAACTGTCCAAGGGGATGCGGATCAACGGTCAACGTTTTCCAACACAGGACCAATTTGGGTCATGAGCTGTCAGACTGGCGTGCGACGCGCACCCAGCAGCGAAGGAGAGGTCGCTTGTATTGACGGCCAAGCGCTCAAAGCTCCAGGCTTCGGTTTGAAGAACCAAGGAGAGGGTATACACGCTGTTGAGGGCGGGGCTGCTCCCCGCTGCCACCCATGGCGCAGGGGTGAGTGGAGTTGCCGAGTCTACGTTGACAAAGTTGAGATCTGTGGCAGCCACCTTGGTTGCAGCCAGGTCGCAGGTTTTCCATCACGGCGTGGTTGAGTAAACAGACGGATAACCAGCATGATCCAGTGCTCGACGCAACCACCAACCTGGCAGTGCGATATGCTAGTGCAGTGTGGGATGGCGTCGTGTCCATCGTAGATTTGCAGCATGCGTGCATGACCATGGAGAAACGGTTTAATGGTGTTCCGTCTCGGGGCAAATGTTCGGGCCCGATCCCTGCCACATTTTTGACTATGCAGTGGATCGGATGGCGCATGGCCTCGGCGCACATGTTCAGCACGGACCAAGGTACTTCCGCCAACCAGCTGACGACGCCCCCGTTGGAGCTTGCGCAAATGATCATCGAGGGTGTCGGCCGCTGGTCGATGAGGGGGAGCTTGGCCCACATAACAGAGGCGTTTGGCCACGAGCAGATTTGGCGCAGGGCTTTGCGGACCAGCATCCTGAGCATTCGAGATCCTGCTCGTCGTGTGTGCTCGTCTGTGACTTGGTGCATGCTGCTGGGCCCCTGCGAGGAAGCACCTCGCCAAACCTCGCGCGTCGCAAAATTGTTGTTTTTGCACAGATTTGCACGGCACCCTTGGCCACCAGCTTTATGATGGCCCGTTCCCAATTCGCCCCCCCGACGATCTCGAGATATAGGCTCTCCCAGATGATGTCCTGGAGCGCAGGTCTGCTTTAAGGGGCGCGAGGTATCGGAATCTGGCTGCTGATTGGGACACTCTTGAGCTTTTACCCTCTAGCTCCCACCCTTTCCTCCCTGTCGCGGCAGGGTCATGGACAGAAGACGGAAAAGCGCTCCGCTTGCGACGAGGGGGGGGGGGGGGGGGTAGCTGTCGACGTCGCGGTCAGCCCACCGCACGCGGGCTACGCCCGCGCACGCTCGCGAGCGGGCCACGGGGCGGCGTGCCGCCCGGCTGGTCGTCGGCTCTGGCTGTGTGTGCAGGCGTAAACCCCATGCGGGGCCGAACGCGACGCGGACTTCTCCACCTTCCTGGGTGCCCAAAGAGGTGTCTGCGGAGGAGCAGGCAGTGTCCCATGCCGTGCGGCCGGGTCTGGTGTTCTGGGCGGTTCCTGGTCTTACCCCCCTTCCCCCGTCGGTGGTCCCTGCCCCGCTGGCCAGCACCAGTGGGCGCTGCCTGCTCCGCCGCTGTGCGACGCCCGCGTCGAACACGGGGACTGCGCCGCCGTCCTCCCGCGTCCTCGCCCCGGCCCCCCCCCCCCGCGCGGCCCCTGTGGGGCCGTGGTGGCGCGCGTCCCGTCGGCCTGCGGGGGCCGTGCGGGTGCGGCTCTCGGTGTGGCGCAGCTGCGGCCGCTTTGCGGCGGGGGGGTGTCCTCCGTGGGGATAGGCGGTGCTGTCCCTGAGCTGAATTCTTGTGATCCCACCCGCAGCCGCGCTTCCCTGGAGCTGCCTGCGCCCGCGCCCCGCCCCGCTGCCGCCGCCGCCGGGCAGCGCCATGGCCGCGTTCGGCGACTGGGTCGCGGCACTGCCCCAGCAGGTTCGCGACCACCTCGCCGCGCAGGGGCTGGACAACGCCGCGCTGGTCGTGGACAGCGTCTCGCCGCAGTTCCTCAAGGGCGAGAACGGCGCCACCGTCGCCAAGACCGTAGACGTCGCGTTCCTGGAGTCCATCGCGGCCGCCTGCGAAACCGTCAAGCCCGGCTCCGGGGCTTATGCCAAGGTCCGCCAGTTCTACGAGAAGTGCTACAAGCGCTGCGAGAAGGGCGCCGCCGCGGCCAGCGTTCCCGAGGCCGCGCCGATTGAGGCGCGCGACCCGACCAGGGAGGAGTACTACGACCTCAGCCCGGAGTACCGCAAGCAGCGACTCCAGGCGCTCAACACGGCGCGGCGCTGCGAAGTGGACCCCGCCCGCCTCCCGTCCCTGCGGATGTGGGGCCGGTGGGAACGCCTCCGCCGGAGGAGTTCGAAGCCGTCGCGGCCACCGTGGTCCAGTCCGACGCAGCGGCCCGCGCCCGGCCCGCCGCGGCCGAGCTCAAACCCGGCGTCGGCGGCGTCCTCGCCTGGCGCATGCCCGCAATCTCCGAGGCGCCGGCTGGCGGCCTCGTCGAGCTCGAGGAGGCTGGCTACCTCATCGAGAACTTGCTCTTCCTCTGCGGCTGGGTCAAAGACATCGATTATCTGGTGACCTTCCACGAGCGGTTCTGGAGCCGCGTCCGACGCTCCAAGCAGCCAATGCTCGGCTACCGCCCGACGGCGCTCACGGAGGTGCAGCGCGCGCTCTGCCTCTTCCAGTGCCAGTGGGCGAAAGCAAGCCGGAACGCCGACAAGCTGGACGCCACCGTCTTCAGCTCCCTCCCAGCAGACGCCGACGAGCTGGACGGCCGGCTCGCGCTTGCGCCGCGCCAAGCCGGCCACTCCGCCCCCGGCTCAGCCAACGCCGCGGGCGCTCGCCTCGACGGCGCTGGCGAAAGCCTCCCGAAGCGCCCCCGCCTCACCCGCGGCGAGCGCCGCGAGCGGGCGGCCGCCGCAGCCGGCTACCAGAGCGCCCCGGCCCAGCCCCCCAAGGGCAAAGGCAAGGGCAAGGGCAGGGGCAAGCCCGCGCCACCCGCAGAGCCCGCCCGGCGCACCTCCAAGGGCGACCTGTGCTGGCACTTCAGCAACGGGAAGACTTGCAAGCACGGCGACGCGTGCTGGTTCCGCCACGCTTGACTAGCCCCCGCAAGCGCGGCAGCGGAGTTCCAGGCCGCCGACGCGCAGAGCGGTCCCCTGCCTTGCCTGGACTGGGCGCCCACGCGGGCTTAGGGCGCCCCTAGTACCGGGCCACCGCTTAGCCTAGACCGGGCGCCCACGCGGGCTTCGGGCGCCCCTGACACCACGCCGCCGCTTAGCCTCGACTGGGCGCCCACGCGGGCTTCGGGCGCCCCTAATACCTCGCCACCACGGCGCCGGAACAAACGCCCGCCGTGCCTCTCGCACTCCCCGCGCTCACAGCCGGACCGCAGCCGGCAGCGCAGCCAGCTCAACCCGCGCGATGGGCCCCCCGCCGCCCGCGCCCCGCCGCAAGCGTGCCCCGCCGAGTGCGGCGCCACCATGGTCGAACACGCCGCCAGGCTCCGCGATCCGGCGACCGAGCAGGAGTTCGAGAGCGTCGACCATGCCCAGCAGCCACCCTATGCCCCGCCGCCCTGCATCGCGCGGCGCCCGGGGCTTGCGCACCCGGACACCATCCCCTGGTACGGGGGCGCCGCAGCGGCACCGCCCCGGCACCTCGGCGTTCCCCGCCGGTGCGACAAAGCCGCAACGCAGCTGCAGCGCACCATCACGCCGGTCCAGCACATCGACCAGACGTGGGACCATGCGAACAGCCAACCATCGGCCGCGTGGGCGGAGCCCCCGGCCGCACCCCTGGCGGCCCCCATCCGCAGCGCGCTGCTCTGGGCGCGCGACTGCCCCGACTACGAGCAGTGGGTCATCGGGCAGGTACACCACTGGAAACGCGTCCAGGCTTCACTCGCGGAAGCCACGCGTGCCTGGCGAGCGGGCTTATCCTCTCACGTCCGCGACGTCCTGCCTCCGGGATTCGGGATACAACGGGCCGCTACACCGAGAACTACTTCTGGCATCAGGTCACGAGGACACCGATGTCATTGCCGACATAATGTCGGGATTTCGGATGCGGGGCGTCCTGCCCGACACGCAGCTGTTCGCGAACATAGACGGCGCCGACCTGCCGGACGCAGATGCGCTGGACCGCGCGCTCGAGAACGCGCTCGATTCCAAGGGCGCCATGCTGCTGGAAATGCTCCAGAACTCCAAGCGCGAGCCGGACATGGCTGAAGTGCTCCGAGTCACCCAGGAGGAATGCGCAGCGGGCAGGCTGGACGGACCGTGGGACGTGTGGCTCGACGCCGTGGCGGGTAATCTCCACTGTCCCCTTCGCCCGGTGGCTACCGACGCGCCGCTTCCCCCGCGTCCAGGGCCGCGCCGCCACCTCCTACAAGGTTCGCCCCATCGACGATGCGACAGCGAGCGGCCTCAACCTGGCTGTCGCCGCCCAGGAGCGCATGCGCATGGCCGGCCTGGCCTCGCTCCTCGACGCCGTATCCTTCATCGCCGACACGTTCCGCGACTGGGGCGCCGACGGCGTGCCGCTCATCGCCAAGGGGGACCACGCCCAAGCATGCCGCCAATGGCCAGTGCACCCCGACGACGTGCCCCTGCTGGTATGCCTCGTCTGGGACGACAGCGTCGGCCATGCAGGAGGCTACCGGGCCTGCGCGCACAAAGCCCTGCCGTTCGGCGCCTTCGGGGCCGTGTGGGGGTGCGCGCGAGTCGCCGCCAGCGTGAACCACCCCCTCCGACGCATCTTCAGCGTGCCGCAGAACGCGTACGTGGACGACTTCCACCGCGCCTCACCCGCCAGATGGGCCGACCTCCACGAATGGGTCTTCCAGGAGCTGCACGCCATGCTCGGGATCCCGCTGAAGGAGGGGAAGAACCAGGGCCCAGCAGCCGTGCTGGACCTGCTAGGCCCGGACGTCCTCTCCACGCCACGCTGGGCGGGCTTGCGCCTCACCGCCAAGCGCCGCGCCGCGCTGTCCGACGACGTGGACGCCGCCCTGCGAGCACAACGCCTCAGCAAGCGCAACGCTGCCAGGCTGGGCGGCCAGCTGGGCTCCGCCACCTCGGCGATGTTCGGCGGCGTTGGCCGCGCTTGTGCCTCTCCCGTGTCCGCGCACGCCGGAGGCTGGTCTCGCCGCCTCGCTCGCGCGCTGTCCTGGTGGAAAGCACTTCTGCGGTGCCCGCTGTACCGCAAGCGCGGCCACGGCGCGGACCGCCCCGTCGTCATCGGGTGGGTCGACGGGTCCTGGGACATGGAAGCCGGAACAGGCGCCATCGGGGGCGTGCTGCTGTCCCCAACGCGCGGCGGCCGCAGTTTCTCCGCGCGCATCCCGCCGCGCTTTTGCGCAGAGCTGCTCAAGGTCGGCAAGAAGCAGCGGAGCACCCGGTCCGAGCTGCTCGCCGTGCTCGTCCTGCTGCTGACGTGCCCCGAGGCAGTGCGCGGCGCCCGGCTGGTCCTGTTCGAAGACAACACTCCCGCCCTGGAGAACATCCGCCGCGGCGCAGCAGGCGACGACGACAGCGTGGCCATCGTCGGCGCCGTCTGGCTCCTGCTCGGCGTCCTCGGCGCTGAACTTTGGATCGAGTGGGTCGCGTCGGAGAGCAATCCCGCGGACTCTTTCTCCAGGCCCGACGAGCCCGCCAAGCGGGCCGAGGCCGCGGCTCTCGCGCAGCGCTACCGCCCCCGGGCGGCCGAGCCCCGGTTCCCAGCGACTTTCCGCATGGACGCCGGTGCCTGGGCAACGGCAGTCTCCGCCGCTCAGGAGGACTGGGCGCGCAATGACCGCAGCCGCCGCGCGCGCACCGCGCTCCGCCTGATGGCAGTAGACGCGGGCACCCTTGCCGCGCTGCTCGCCGCCATCTCCTTCGACGCGGACGACAAGCAGATCACCCTGGGCTGGATCCGCGCCAGGCGGGCCGGCGCGGTGGCCGCGGCCACGCACTTCCACGCGGACTTGTTGCGGCTGCTCCGCCTCGCCGCGCGGCCGCATGCCAGCGGCCAGGGCGCCGCGACCGTCGTCCTGCGCGAGGCGGCGTGGCCCCGCGCGCCGACCGGGACCGTGAGATGCACTGCCACAGCCGTCATCAAGGGCGCCGGTAGCACCTGCGTAGCCGCCGCGCGGTGGTGGCCGTGCGCGCCCGCGCCAGACGCCGCGTGCTTCGCGGAGAACGACGTCGCCATCGGGTTCTACGTGGTGGGCGTCGCTGGCGCCAAGGAGCGGCGCCAGGCCGCCCCGCTGCGCAAGCTGGGACTAGAAGCTGCGGGCGCCGGCGCCTGCCCCCGCCGGCGCGCCGAGCCGCCGTGAGTGGCCGGCCTGCGGCGCCCCCGGCCCCCCGCCGCGCTGCGGGGGCTGCGCGCGGCCGAGTGGCGGGGGTCCAAAAACGCACCCGCGCGTGAAGTATCGGATGCAGTCAAAGTAGAAGATCCCCCCTTAAGGCGGGCCGTCGCAGAGCCGCCCCCCCTCAAGAGCGCCGCCCCAGCTCATTCCTCCCCAGCTTTCCGCGCATGTGGGTCCGGGTTTCCTGGACGAGGTGGAGGAATTTTCCTTGGGAGACGAGGGGTCGGGGCGCGCTGGGGGAAAAGGGGAATTTGCCAGCAATTAAGGAACAATAAAAAAATCAACCGTTGGAGGGCCAATGCGCCCCGCGGCTTCCCTCGGCGTCGGCCCTGGCCTCCTGGCCCGTTCCCGGTCCCTGGCCCCCTGGGCTCGGTCCGCGGTGCCCGGACTTGAAACCAATCGGCTTGGAGGCGGGGGCAGGCCCCGGAGACGCAGCCCCTCGGCCGAAATGCCATAATGAAGCGCTCGCCCATAGATACGCGGCGCCCCCCTCCCCTCTGACCGCGGGCCGAGCCGCGCCAGCCCGGGCCAGCCTCAGGTGGCGAGGAGGAGGCAAGGTCCCGGTTGGCGCAGCTTGGTGGCGGCGGGTGCGGTCGCCCCCCCCGCCCTCCTCGGCTTCGGGCACCGTGGACCCTCGCGGGTGATCCAGCGGAAGCCCCCCATGTGGGCAATCTTTTCCGAACGAAAGGGGAGGGAGGCGCATCGCGCATCGAAATAAGCCCCGACGTCGAGGCCAATGCGCCCGCGGCTTCCTCCGGTCCTCCCCCCGCCCCCCAGTGGCCCGCGCAGGGCCGAGCAGTGGCTCCATGCGCGTCCTCAAGAATCGGAAGGGGGGGGGGGCGGGGGGGATGGGCACGACCAGGAGACGCAGCCCGTCGGTGGCAAGCAACAAATGGGGCGAGCGCAAAGGGGGGCCAAGCGGTGGCGTTCCCCCACCAAGTCTCTGCTCATGAGGTTTCATTCCAGGTGGGCGGCGAGGTCATGAAATCTCATCGGCGGAGCCCGGGGGCCTTCAGCCGCGCTGGACCGGACACGCGGCCGATGTGGGGGAACGCGCCTTTTGGAACTTCGTAAGAAAGCCGGAGGCGGGCCAACGCGCCCGGTTGGTTTCCCCCGACCGCCTCCCCGCCCGCCCAGAGCCCGCGGGCCGGGGGAAAGTGGCTGGAGCGAGTGCAGGGAAGCGGGGACGCGCCCCCCCAGGAAAATCCAGGGATTGGGGAGAAGTAAGCAGGGCAGGTCGTGCCCCGGAACACGCCAGATGGGGGGGGGCCTGGCCGCGCGTCCTGTGGTGGGGGGGCCTGGCCCCTCCCCCTTTGGCGCGATCCTGGCTCGTCTCTTCCCTCGCGGCACCTTCCCAAGCTTTTGCCGCGCCATGCAATGCCTCGATAAGACTGGGGGGGCCCGCCTCGCCGTCGGTCGCTTCTGCCCCGGCTTTGGGCTGGGTCGGGCCAGGGCATAGGGGGCTGACGGCAGGGCGGGGGGCACCGCGCGCGCGCAGCGCCTCCTGGGAGAGAGCGCGGCGACTCCGGCCCCCTCCCGCGGATCGAGCGCATTGGCATACGTGCGCGGCAAGAGCGCGATTTCATTGCCCCACC